GTGTGACAGGTGTCAGGTTGGACAGGTTGGTCAGGTGAGGTGACAGGTGTGACAGGTGTCAGGTTGGACAGGTTGGTCAGGTGAGGTGACAGGTGTGACAGGTGTCAGGTTGGACAGGTTGGTCAGGTGAGGTGACAGGTGTGAGGTGACACTTTTGACAGGTGTGAGGTGTGACAGGTGTGAGGTGTGACAGGTGTCAGGTGACAGGTGTCAGTTGTGACAGGTGTCAGGTTGGACAGGTGACAGGTGTGACAGTTGTGTCAGGTGACAGGTTGGTCAGGTGAGGTGACAGGTATGAGGTGACACTTTTGACAGGTGTGAGGTGTGACAGGTGTGAGGTGTGACAGGTAGGTCAGGTGACAGGTGTCAGGTTGGACAGGTTGGTCAGGTGAGGTGACAGGTGTGACCGGACCAGTAGAACTTGGTGTTTCTTACAGATCTGAGGTCAGGCTGGCTGCTGTCGTATTCTTTGTTTACGTCTCTGACGTGAACGATCTTCACGCCGCCGCAGGTCTTCGGGTACGAACCGTCGCCGTCGAAGTTCCTGATGTGAGCGAAGACCTTCTGGATGGTGGGCGGGTCGTTGCAGACCACGTAGGAGGTTCTGGACACGTGATAACCATACCTGCAAACAGGAAGTCACAACTCAACAGACTATCAAAATAAGAGTTTCACTAWAAAACATAAATCATTTTAGGTTCAGACTCGTCAGGTTTCCTGTCTGGACTCAAACATTTTAAATAACTCAGAAACACCTGTTCCTGTCACCTGAGGTGCATTCATTACACTGTGCACGTGTGCAYGAGTGTGCACGTGTCTGTGAACAGTTAAACCAAACACCTGCAGCTTCCAGACCTCTCTACAAACTTGAGTGTTTGCTGCCCCCTGCTGGTCAAACACCAGAACCAGAACCTGTATGAGACGGGTCCGGGTGCTCCTGCTGTCATCAGAACCTTTGAGGAACCTTACGTTCTGTAGATGTTGTGCAGCTGCTGGTTCAGACTCAGGTTCTTCTCGTGAAGATACACCGCCATCTCCGCCACGACCACGGCAGCACTCACGCCGTCRTTCTCTGGGACCATGCTGCCACACAGGAACCCTGAGGACAGAGACGGTTCTGACCCGTTTACTGGCTCTGTCCTTCTCAAGTTCAGTAAATAAAGTGTTTGAAGCAGAARAATTCAGAARAARTCAGAACAATTCAGAATAATTCAGAATAATTCAGAATAATTCTTGTGGAAATGATCATGAACTCCACACAGACCCTGATCTGGATCGGTTTAGTTTTTGTTAAACAGTTTAAAAGATAAATTTAACTTCATCAAACCTCCAGATTTTTWCAGGTTGCAGTTTTACCATCAGCCACCAGGTGTCAGTGTTACACCTGAGCAGCTTTAAGTCTTCAATCTTAAAAACAGGAACTGTTCCTGGACCCTGGACCCAGACTCACCGATGGACTCCTCAAATGCAAAAATGACCCTGTTTCCGGTTTTGGAGAGTTCGTGGATTCTGTTCCCGATCCATTTGAACCCGGGCAGAGTCTCCTGTAGAGACAGACAGGTGAGGATGATGATGATGATGKAGGAACCTGGTTTGATTTAATTTATTGTTTGTTTCTCTGCAGGTTTTCAAAGATCCGGTCCGATCTGGTCCATTTCAGGTGTACAGAAAGCTTCAGCTGGTTCTGGACTAATGGCTCCTCTTCAAAAGAAGAAGCGGATCAGTCAGAACCAGACTGAAGTTCTGGAGATGGGATCAGGAACAGGTTCTGACCTCGAAGTGGAACCCCTCGATCCGGGCAAAGGCCTGCAGGATCTTGGAGGACACGGTGGTGGCCAGCATGTAGACCTTCTGAGTGTCGGCCGGGTCCGGATGGTTCTCCTTCCAGTTGAAGAACATCCACCAACCCAGCAGAGCCGCCAGCTCGTTACCTGAGAACACCTTCCAAACACACCTGCAGGCAGGTACAGGTGGGCCGGAAAACCCAAGGTCTGATGAGTACAGGGACAGGGACAGGTAGATACAGAGAACCAATCTACATTCATTTAAACTCCACCTGTAGGACAGGTAACCTGTAGGACAGGTAGAGTCCACCTGTAGGACAGGTAAAGTGCACCTGTAGGACAGGTAACCTGTAGGACAGGTAAAGTGCACCTGTAGGACAGGTAAAGTGCACCTGTAGGACAGGTAACCTGTAGGACAGGTAAAGTGCACCTGTAGGACAGGTAACTTGAAGGACAGGTAACCTGTAGGACAGGTAACCTGTAGGACAGGTAACCTCTAACTGTGTTCTGAAGTGCCTTTGAGCAAACAGCAGGTACCCGTCACATTTCTCGGCCACAGCCAGGCGGTCGGCGTCCGGATCCGTCGCCAGAACCACCTGAGCYTTTTCCCGCTCCGCCAGGTGCAGAGACAGCTCCTGGAAAACCAGAGGAACAAAGTCAGGACCWTGACATTGATCCCAGACCTGCTGTCAGAAGTCCGACCCACCAGGACCGACTCGCCCTCCTCCGGGTTTGGGCAGTGAACAGACGAGAAGTTCGGGTCGGGGTCTTTCTGCTCGGGGACYGGGATGGGCGGAGCTAAATCAAACACCTGGAAGGCCTGTTGGACAAAGGTGTGTCCGACTCCGTGGAAGGAGGAGTGGACGAACTTTAGGGGACAGTTCTTGTTCAGGTCCCTAAAACACAACACAGGACAGGTCTGGGTTGGGTTCTGTTCGGGTCACGACTGAAACGGGTCGGAGCGGGTTAAACTGGGGTCAACAGGAAGTCACCTGTGGAAGCAGAGGGAGGTGAGCTCATCCATGTAGTAGCTGTTGACCTGGGTCAGAGGGTCTGTTCTCAGGGAGCAGCGGTCCACCAGCTCCTGGTCCCAGCAGGAGGCGCTCCARGGCTCCAGCTGCTCCTCTATACAGCGCAGGACCTCCTTGTCATGGGGGGAGCAGAGCTGAGCACCGTTACACCAGTACACCTGCAGGAGCAGACAGGTGAGTGTGGCTCAGGCTGCATCAGGTGTGGTGTCAGAGGGTGGTCACCTTGTATCCGTTGTCCTCTTTAGGATTGTGAGAAGCTGTGATCATGACTCCTGCTGCTGCTCCCAGTTTTCTCACAGCGTAAGGCTGAAAACACAAACAGCTCAGAGTTCTTCAAGAACACTCARCTGGTTCTGTTTTTAAAACAGGAAGTCATGAAACATCTAAGCTATCGCCTGACACCAAGAAAACCACCTGATCATTAAAAGGTTTACTCAGATCTGAATCTGCTCCTGATTCAAACTGAGCCTGCTCTGACTGGAGGGTCGCTACCTGCTACCTGCTAACTGCTAACCTCAACTCAAAAACACAGAATATCCCTTTAATACTGAAACACAGCAGCTGAGAATCAGACTCAAGTCCACAGGAAGTGATGCGTTACTGCTTCCTCACCACGTACGGCGTGGGGACGAACAAGGAGAACAGGTGGACAGGAACARCTCGACTGAGCATCACCGCTGCTGRCAGCTTCGCCAACCTGAAATACAAAAACATCCTGAAAACATCTGGAAATCATTGTATCCCGAAACATCCTGAGATATCCTG